CTTTTCCCTTCGTGTAAAGTTGGACAGTACTCCCGTCAATAGAAGGCGTCAGTGAATGTTGTAGAATAAACGCCGTCCACAATCCTGCATGGTGTCGTTTCCGTTTGGTAAAAGATCCTTCCAATGGAGGACGAATCGCCAATTTGTGCTTTCGCATCTGTTTGTTCGCTTTTGCAATCACGTCCTTTTGCGATCACTCCTCGTACCTTTTGCGTACCTTTTGCGATCACTCCTCGTACCTTTTGCGATCACTCCTCGTACCTTTTGCGATCACTCCTCGTACCTTTTGCGATCACTCCTCGTACCTTTTGCGATCACTCCTCGTACCTTTATCTTTTAGGAGAACTCAGAACATCCGTAACTGGAACAATAAATTGACAGTAGGAACCGTTCTCGCGCCTGCTAAAGGTGTCTAGTCGCGTAGGTCGACTCCGCTGTGCGACTTGTATGTTAGCCTGCTTAACTGTGTTTTGTCGTCGTTTGATCTGTTTCCTCACCCAAGTTTTCTGTTCCATGGGTGGTCCCAAAATCTGTCTGTTTTCTTTTCCTGTTAACAAACCCCTCGTGAACCTCACACAATGAACAGTGACACCGCCGTTCCCCAACCTGAACCAAGGCAGCGAAGCCTGCCTTTAACGGACCAGTAACTCACTTTCTCGCAGGCTAGGACCCCAATTCAAGGAATGCGTCAACAATTTAGCAACATCTTCAGATAACATAATAGCTTCCCAAAATGAAGCGGTTTAATCAGACGATCCTGCTCCCCCATTCACTAAAAACTCGCAATAACAAATATAACACCAAGGAGAGCGAAATGACAGCTCAGAGACTAAAAAGAGATTTTACTACAGCAGTACTTTCTATCATCTTTTTAATGAGTGTCTCTGATCCAAAGATGCACAAAAAAGAATGTACAAAGAAGGGCCGGCTGCACAAGACGCTGCTGATGGAACAACAGACAGAAAACCGCATGAAAGCGGCCCATTAACGTCACAAAATACAAACAGAACAACACTATCGATAGAAGCTTTCACTGATGCTTGAGAAGAAGACCGGATGCTTAGATTTTTAAAAGGAGCGCAATACGCTTTTATAATTTCTGATCTATCTATTGCTGTAGGATCAATTGGACAAGAGCCTTACTAGCGCTATCATCAACTAAATCAAATTCCACAGAACTCCTGGGTTGCTATACACGTAGAGGGCTCCACCCACTATGGAGCAAGTTATTAGACAACTTATAAGCCAGCACGTCATCTGCCTGCACGCATTTAGCCGTTGACAACAGCTGGATCCGTTTCTTTTTTCGATCTTCTTAATACGAGAAAGGAGTTCCTCGTGTAGGGATTCTGCCTCGTGTCCATCTGTTGCCTTTCTTGTGTTTTTTTTTATCTTCGTCGTGAAAGAAACATCTTCGTTACAATCAAGTACGCCCAATTCTGCCTCGTGTCCATCTTTTCCCTTCGTGTAAAGTTGGACAGTACTCCCGTCAATAGAAGGCGTCAGTGAATGTTGTAGAATAAACGCCGTCCACAATCCTGCATGGTGTCGTTTCCGTTTGGTAAAAGATCCTTCCAATGGAGGACGAATCGCCAATTTGTGCTTTCGCATCTGTTTGTTCGCTTTTGCAATCACGTCCTTTTGCGATCACTCCTCGTACCTTTGGCGTACCTTTTGCGATCACTCCTCGTACCTTTGGCGTACCTTTTGCGATCACTCCTCGTACCTTTTGCGATCACTCCTCGTACCTTTTGCGATCACTCCTCGTACCTTTTGCGATCACTCCTCACCTTTTGCGATCTTTTAAGAGAACTCAGAACATCCGTAACTGGAACAATAAATTGACAGTAGGAACCGTTCTCGCGGTGTCTAGTCGCGTAGGTCGACTCCGCTGTGCGACTTGTATGTTAGCCTGCTTAACTGTGTTTTGTCGTCGTTTGATCTGTTTCCTCACCCAAGTTTTCTGTTCCATGGGTGGTCCCAAAATCTGTCTGTCTGTTTTCTTTTCCTGTTAACAAACCCCTCGTGAACCTCACACAATGAACAGTGACACCTCCGTTCCCCAACCTGAACCAAGGCAGCGAAGCCTGCCTTTAACGGACCAGTAACTCACTTTCTCGCAGGCTAGGACCCCAATTCAAGGAACGCGTCAACAATTTAGCAACATCTTCAGATAACATAATAGCTTCCCAAAATGAAGCGGTTTAATCAGACGATCCTGCTCCCCCATTCACTAAAAACTCGCAATAACAAATATAACACCAAGGAGAGCGAAATGACAGCTCAAAAAGAGAGCCGATGGAAAAACAGACAGAAAACCGCATGAAAGCGGCCCATTAACGTCACAAAATACAAACAGAACAACACTATCGATAGAAGCTTTCACTGATGCTTGAGAAGAAGACCGGATGCTTAGATTTTTGTTGCTATTGGATCAATTGGACAACCAGAAGACACTACCACCAACTAAATGGATTCGGGGCACCGTGAGACAAGAGGCATCACCGTTCCCGTTTGGTAAAAGATCCTTCAATGGAGAACGAATTGCTTTCCGATGAATAACTGGATCATTTCTTGATTTTTGTCACAGGCACACCGCGCACATCTGCCTTGTAAACTTTGGGAATTGTGGCAGAAGAAAACGTTTCGTTCAGTTTCAGAAAAGGGTAAAAATTTTCACAAAATCCAGTCCTTGTCTCTTGATTGGAAACAATGAATCATATTGATCCATCGGTCTCTACAACTATTAACTTTGAATTCGTTCGATGAACCCACTAACAGATGCCCTTGAAAGCTTACGGGACAAGAAGACTCAGTTGGAATTTCTTCCAGGCAGCTCATCATAAAATCTATTGTGCAGTACCGATATTATCTGTACTTTCTTTGAATCAAAAACAACATGCTTGTTTATCTTGTAACAAGACTAAGCCATACCAAGTCCCTTGCACCGTTTTAAACATGCAGCTGACGGAATCTGGTTGGTCACTAGAGGAGCAGAAAGTCGGTTCGATATTTGAGAGTCAGAGTTGCCACCCAAAAATTCGCGATGCCTGTTTGCTGCAGGATCAGTGCTTACACTCCGCATCCGAATACTGTGCTGCCATGAGATCATGAAGAAGATCCTTGATATTCAGTTTTTGCACGGTTGCTTCTGGCAAAACATCCTTCCACAAATTCACCGACAATGGGTTTTGAGCAATTACCGACAATGGGTTTTGAGCAATTACCGACAATGGGTTTTGAGCAATTACCGACAATGGGTTTTGAGCAATTACCGACAATGGGTTTTGAGCAATTACCGACAATGGGTTTTGAGCAATTACCAATATCAGTCCTCGCTGCTTCAATCTTTCCCTTTCTAGACTTCCATGAAGTTCTTCGGTTGCGTCCTCTTCACCCATCATGGATTGCAGCAACCAACTCCATGAGTTTCGAGCCTATTATTCATCTTCCAAACGAGGCCTTGTATAAATATTTTGAGAATCTTAAACCCTTCTTCAAACGAGCCAAAGCGGTTCACTCCTCACGCAGCGACGCAGCGATTGCGCTGACTATTCTTCTCCTCGCCCAACCGAAACTGCAACGAGCCTCATTCCAATGCGACATTCAGACACTCGGGCAATCCACGTTGAAGTCTTTTCAGACGGTTCCTTCAAAACAGTTGCGGTTTTCCAAACTTCGAAGTCTCGCCTTGCAAGGACGGTTTTGCCTTACGATGTTGGCGCGCTTGGGAGCCCTTGCTTCAGAATCCTGGAATCTGCATGATGAATCTGAAAAAGCTAGAATAGATTTGACCAGCAGTAGAAGTCAGTATGTCCACCACGTCTACGATGTTTTTCCAGTATTGGAGGCACTCAGGATTTATACAACTTCAACGGAGTTCGATGCAAACGGATTTTGTAGTGCTCTCGCTTTGATGCCCAATCTCAAACATTTGAAAATTCAGTGCCCAATTACACAAGCACACCGAACGTTTTGGCGTTCCATTTTCATGAATCTTGCTTGTAAACTCAATTTGGTTTCTCTTCATTTTCCTCTCTGCAAAGATCCTGGAGATTTCACTTTTTTTGGATTTAATGAATCAATATCAACGCAATGCGTCCACATTGATTTGTGTGACGAATTACAGACAGCTCAGTTGATTCTATCCGATGCTCGAGACACATTCGGATCTTCAACAAAAATCGACATTCAAATGCTTCGTTTATCCCTTCCCTCGGATTGCCAAACTTTGCAAAAATGTTCTGATGAATTACAGCTTATTTCAGGCTCCCTGTCTGTCCACACCGTGCAAATTTGTTTCCCTCTTTGGAAGGTTCCCTCTTATTTGCGACCCAACGCACTCCATCAGTTTGAAATCTCTCGCCCACTCTACACACATCACGGTTCATCCTATCCATGTCCCGAATGCATGACTTCCCTTCCTGATTCTCATCATACTTGTGATCACGACCCGTCCACTTCAATACACTTCACATTCATTGATGTCAAGCGAATTGAACTCGCGGGCTTTAATCCACTGGAGTATCCAATTCATTCGCTTCTCTTGAGCCTGTTGCGCTTCCCGTTTGCAAGCAAAGAGAGTCTACTCAAGGTCCTGCTCTGGCGTTCAGCTCCGACCTCTCTCCCATCTCGAGAGAATCAGCCGCGCAGTGCAGCGGAATGCGAGTGTATCGCGAGAGCATTTGCTGGCCATTCCCATTTGAATCACAATGTTTCAGTCGTGACGGATGAATTTGATCGGAGTTCAAAAATTCGTTTGGCTGAAGCATTCGACCGTTATTGCCCAAGGGTCTTCGTTTCGGACAAAGAAAGAAATAGCACGTACAGCTCAACATCTTATCGCTCGCTCAGCTCTCAAATAGTTCGACTACAGAGTTCAGTTAATTTGTTTTAAACCGAATTGATTTTTCGCACAACTCATTTCAGTTGGAGTTCATCCATAAAGGGGGTTGTGAGTCTGAGGAAATCATGACGCAAATATTCATGTTGCCTTTCATTTATCTTACTTTGGGATCAGCGAACATGTTGTCAGTGCCACTTGCCCGATTGGGACGGTCTCCAAAAAGGCTTCCACCCGGCTTTTTCGGCTCGACAGTTTTGCCGCTGCCTGATCGCAATCCCCAGAGATTTGCTGCACTTGGAGGTTGAGGAGGCGGGGAAGATTGCGCTCCTAGCGGTGCGCCTCCCTGTAGTGCAACTCCTGCAACTCCTTGCGGTCCAACTCCGTGAGGGACGCCATTCAACTGGGCCGGGGATGCAGCATGAACGCCTCCAGTTGAAGGAACTCGGCCATGTGAAGACTGCTGTTGCAGTTGCGCTAAATCTGCGTCGTACAGCTCATCAAACTCCGAAATTGCTAACGCCGTAATAGAAGGATCCCTAAAGAAAACGTATTGGAAGAATATCCAAAAAATGAAGCAAGAACAGAAGACATTTACCGTTGTAAGACTTGGGTGGCTTTCTTGAGAGTCGCAATTTGATTGACCAAGCATTGTCTCTCTTCCATAATCTGAGGGGGTTCCCCGAGTAGATCGCTGAGTCGCTCAGCTTTATTTAAATCATTATATAACTCAAACTGAAGTTTATCTTGAAGCTGACGAACGAGGAAACATCCGATGACTTTAGGCACCTGAAAAAACAAGGATAAAAATGAAATCATCGAAATTCAACGACAAGCCCTGCAAACTAACTAGCTAACAAACGAACAGAGTCTCGAATATTTCTCAAAACAATTCCGAAATAAGCGTCCAGTCGCTCCCGAATTTCTTTGATGAACGAAGCACTGTAATGCGTCTTTTTCTTCTCATTGCCCATCCACATGCCAGACACTGTGTTCTGGACTGAGTTGTAGAACGCGTGGACATTCGGTACACCAGAACTAAAAAACGACATCAAAGATATTTCCTAGCTATTGGTCGCTGCTCACGTTGGTGGAGGTAAAACTGAAGGGTTCCCGCCGGGTTGTGGTGTTGGAGGACCTCCAGCACCTAATAGAGGATTTGGTGGATCGGAAGATGAGGGCAGCATCATTCGTTTATCTATAAACAAAACATCATTCAATGTCATTGCTAAGTCTTTACCGAGTTGAGGTTGTTTATCATTCATCGGAATCATCGATCCGTGTTGCGTCAAATATGTTGAATCATTTGTGAAGAGATAACCAGTTTCCGCTGCAACAATATTCTCCAGAATTTGTTTTGTATTTTCCTTCTCTCGCGCAATAATGACAGATGATTGCTCCAATACCTGAAACAGTGTTGTCATTCAAAAACGCTGGAATCCAGACTCACCTGCTCAGAAAGTTTAGGAAAACGTCCGAAAACACGATTTGCGATAGTTTGGGAGAGAAGCTCAAGCGATTGGGTGACGCGATCTGAGAGAACGAAGATGGTAAAGAAACATGAGTGACGGATGTCCCACCGAGACAATCAAATACTGGCGCTTGGACTTTCCGTAAATGAGGCAAAATTAAATATTCGAATGTGTCTGGTGACGGAAATCCTGGTAATGAATCCCCTTCATGCATTCGAATCGCCAAGTCAATATCATAGTCTGTCATCTCAGATGTGACGTCAGATGAAACGTATTCGAGAAGTAATTCATTGAAGATTGAACGAATTTGAGCACCACTGGTTATATCATGCTGATAACAGTGAAAATAACTGGGAGGGTCTTGTTTTCACTTACATGTTCAAAATATGTCTGCAACTTCTTATCGAATTTGCCTCTAATCGTATTTCTGTAGACTTCACAATAATCAGTGATCATCGACCACATCAGTTGTACTCGTTCTTGAGAATCAATTGGGACACCACTTCCAAGTTCGTCCAACCTGTTTTGAACCGACCTCATCCGATTTCTAAGCGAAAATGACCAGCCAGACAAATTGAAAGAAAACCGGGAGAAGAACTCACCCAATTTCTCGTTTGATCTCTGGCAAATACGTGCGAATATGACGGAACAGCACTCTGGTCAGCTTTTCGACCAACGATTGCGTTCCAAGCATATGAGGCGCTAGAGAGCGATACACCGGATGAGAAGAAAAGAAGTCCTTCTCGCTCTTCAAAAAGACGGAAAATGAAAGTAAAGATCAAGAAACTCCTGTCTTACTTTGAGAGCTTCTTCAATGGTCTTGTTATCCCTAATATCTTGTTGGCTTCTGTTACGAACCCCTGTGTATCCCAATCTCAATGGGACTTCATCTCCCATTAACATTCGAGATGCATCAGTACCACGATCCATTAAATCGATCTGGGACAATAGTTGCAAATAATCAATAATAACAATATACCTTGGTTATAACGCCAATCGTCCGAATGCCTTTAGGATCCACGCGACGTGCTAATTGTAAAGCATCACTGGTTGACATATCGGCATTTGCCGCAACAACAGCAAGAATGATTGTTCGAGGGTCTTTTGCGTAACGAGTCGCCATATCACGTGTTAATCGCTCGATATCATCTGTTTGATCGCTCCCCTTCAACGGAACTCGGGTAATACCAGGAAGATCAATGAGAGTCAAGTCCGGACACTTGGGACTGTGAACAGTTAAAATAATTGGAGCGTCAACGATTGCCTTGTTCTTTCCTGAGAAAATCGAAACGTGGCAGCGACCCTTTCAAAACTTGCTCACCAGCGACTTCCTCTGTAAGTTCGTCAATAACTTTCCGGACCTCTTCGAAGTTGGTATATTTTTTATTCTTTCGGGCTTCGAACATTGCCCATGATTCATCAGCAGATGAAGGCTCGTGAACAAGACGTAGTTCGAGAGGACGACGCGTTACAATGCCTTCTCCTCTGGGAAGGAAGTCCATGCCTACGATTGCCTCTAAAACGGAGGACTTTCCAGCACTTTGTGTTCCGACAACACAAATGCGAGGAAGATTTATGTATTGTTGCAGGCCAACATCTCGAAGCTCATCCTGGAGGGGAACCAGAGAATGGATGGCTCGTCTCAGGGAAAACAGGGATGACCTACAATAACATTGATGAGTCGTCGTAAATTTTGATACATCAACGGCTCAATTGGTTGCTCCATCTAAGTCAAAATCTATCCCGATCCCAAAAGGAGGAATCCTGATTTCCAGAGGATTTTTAGGCAAGCCTGAGGTTTTTGTTGCAGCGCACAAAAAGCTTCTTTTTATTTTGAATTTTTTAAATAAAAGACAGAAATTTAATTGAATCAACTCTTAAGCAAGCGCCTTCGTGGCTGATTGATGAGTTTCTCTTCTTTTCTTTTTGCTTCGTTGCTGAACCAAAATATGTAATGCTCACGCTGTCTCTCAAGCGGACTCACGCGTCAATCGTCTTCCACTGTTCTTGAAGTTCCTCCCACTCTGCCAATAGCCGCTGCCTGAACTGGATTGCCGCACGCTTTGAACCTTCCCACCCAAAGAATCGTGTCCTGCACACCAAGATCTGCAGTCGCTCATTCAAATGATTCTACCTGAAAAGAACCCTCGCATTCACTGCGAAGTTCTTTTCATAATTTCTCCGATTGAACTGCACAAAAAACCCTCCACTCGGGTGCCACCTGAGAGGGACTTGTGGGTGCGAAATAGTACTCAGTACTTGTCTTGCCTGACACCGCGATGGTTCGTCTTATATTTGTTAAAATCGATTCTTCTCAGCACCTCTTGAGCCTCTCGCGATTTGAGTTTGAATATTCGCTTGAATGGTCCAGAAATTGCTAAGGACTTGGGAAGCCGGTTGGTATCCTGTAAAATCGAGTCAAACGTGTCAAGGTAAATCCCTGATGCCTTCTACCTAGTGGCTTCGGTTTGTATGGCGTTTGCAACGGATGCAATATATCGTACAAATGCCCTAAACAAAACAAAGATTAAACAATCCGATATGGAGATCTCACTTCTTTTTTCTCGAACCCTGAGAATCCCTCGTCGTTGGAAGAAGTTGAATTGTTTGATCTTCGATGAGAGAATATTTTGATGAAAAGCATCTCTTGTATGGAAGAGCATTTTGCTACGAGGTGTTCTGTTTGAAA